ACTGCGCAGTATCAACATTTCCAAAGTGTATATTGGTCAGCGTACCCGGTGTCGGCGTTGTGGAAAAGTTGACACGTGTAACGTTTCAAAAATAATACATGGTTGAATATATTTTCTATACTGGAACAAAAACTTTTCTGGAACATCGCTTAAACAACACCCAAATATCCAGGCCATTACGGCATGCTATGATTACTGGTTTCCTAGCAGTTTCCGTCCCCTAGCAGTTTTCCGGCCGTTTATCATCTTCGCCCAGTACAGTCTATTTTTACCAGTAAGGCATCCACATTACTTCGTCAATCAGAGAGACTTTTGTTTTTAATGCTAAACAGCATTTAAAATAGTACAATTTATATGTTTTGAAGTTTTGTCTGTTTATTTAAAGTTACAAAGAGAACTTGCGACTTTCAAAAATAAGTAACACCTGGGGAATTATGGTTTGAGTATCCATGCGCAATAACTAAGACCCCATTTTAGGTAAATCAATACTTCGAAAATTATTATTGCAGACTACACGGACAAGGTTGGGAAGTTCTGTTTGTCTTGTAAAACCATCTTAACATTGCTTTGTGGTACAGAATTATATTCAAAATAAAAATGGTCCGGAAAACTGCTATGAATTTTTTAATAAAGGTGAAAAAAGGTGTTACGTTTCAGGCATATATTCTAATTAAAAAGTAAAATGAAAGTGCAACATTAAGCACATGGCAATGCTGGACAGGTACCTAACTTTGTCCTGTCAAAGTTTTGTACCCCTCCGTTGACTGATTTTTATTTTATTTGTTAAAAAGTGCGATTTGTGGCCGGAAACTGCTAGGAAACCAGTATAGTCTTTTATTACAAGGATAAATGGTACATGTACACGCAGACAAACGAAAAATGGGCGCTCGGCGTAACGAGTTTTACTTTTCTGAAAACTGTTGAGGAATGAAAAATTAACGCAAGAATTTACCATTTGAATTCAAAAAATCTTTCATAGCGTAATGCACGTTTGGAAAACAAATCTTTCTAGGCAAGGAGTTGCTGATTTTAATACGCAGCAAGTTAATTGTAACTAACATAATTATTCTAACATAGATAATACTACAGAGTGGTGACAATATAAATTTTAATGAAATACAGTATTTGTTTATCCTTTAATAAACATTTTTATAAAAAAGAGGTCTAAATAAAAAGTTTCTCCGCATCATTTTAAAGATTTCAATCAATTAGAAAAAATAGTTAAAGATTATTTCCTGGCGATTTATTTTAATGTAGCAATAAATATAATTAATAATAACTACATTAAAGAATAATAAGCACTGTTTAACAGTTTTTTCATATTTTTTTTTGTCACGCAAAAAAAATGACAACATTCACGCACGGTACCGAACAATATCGATTTTTAGCGTACATGTTACATTACTGTAGCAACATCACAATATGGCGGCGTTGGTACACAAACGAGACGGTGAAATGAAACTAACGTGGTTTACTTACTTCTAAGTTGATAGTCTAGCACTTTTTGTGCTGTTGATTCCTTAAAATTGTATTGTTGAATAGATTCTTAGTTTAAATTGTCTGCATTTTTACATTAACATCGAAATCCACGTTTCACCACAGAAAGGTCTCCTTTTGGTTTTGACGTTAAAGCGAGATTCTGCCCCAGAACGAAAATATCTCAGAATCAAGCTTTGGCACGTCAATATATTTTGACTAGACAATGACTAAACCGTTCCCGTACTGCCAGAATATAAAACGACTAATACTAAGCACGTAATGGATTTTTCTGTCGTAACGTTTCCACTTTAATTTCAATAATTGCGCAAATCGAAACAGGCAATTGTCTAGGTAGCATCTTATAGGTATGTACATAGTGCGCAGCCTGAACATCCCTTCGCAGACATTTTACGCGTGCGTAAAGCTTCGCTTGTTGTCACTGTTTACATCTATTTCAGAAACTTGCTGGAAAAAAACAACAACCAAAAAACGTAAAAAAACAAACAAACAAAAAACAGCAAATAAAGAAAAAAAACACTCAAAGTTGATGTTATTCCATCTGTCTTTATTCTGTTTAAGTTAAAAGAAAGGATTGTCAAGAAATAATCCTTTTTAAGCACATTCATGAGCTAGTCATAATAAAACAGTTTCTTGCATCTCAGACAGGATTATCTACCGTTTACACCGGTGCTAGAAAACTCTGTCTTACACCCCCATGTAAGACATCGCCAGCTTTAAATGACGTCATTGACGCGCGCCTTTTATGAATAAATCGCGTTCTTAGGATGACGTCATTTTTCCGTTATGAATCAAGTTGTATGTTCATACGCTACTATAAGAAAAAAGTGCGTAATGAGAATATCAGTTTTCATAATTTCTGTTCCGAAAATAATTTACATGTAATATGCAAGAAAAAGAATCAAACACCGGCAAGTGGTACAGACGGGAATATCCAGCTCTCGGGTAACTGTTTAGCGGAAACTCGGGAGAGCCTCGTTACCGCCGTAAACAGTTACCCTCGAGCTAGATATTACCGTCTGTACCGGCAGCCGGTGTAAGATTCTTATATTCTTGCATCTCAGACAGGATTATCTACCGTTTACAGCGGTGCTAGAAAACTCTGTCTTACACCCCCCATGTAAGACAAGTCGCATGCTTTAAATGACGTCATTGACGCACGCCTTTTATGAATGAATTGCGTACTTAGGATGACGTCATTTTTCCGTTATGAATGAAGTTGTAAGTTCATACGCTACTATAAGAAAGAAGTGCGTAATGAGAATATCAGTTTTCATAATTTCTGTTCCGAAAATAATTGACATGTAATATGCAAGAAAGAGAATCAAACACCGGCTGTTGGTACAGACGGGAATTTCTAGCTCTCGGGTAACTGTTTAGCGGAAACTCGACAGAGCCTCGTTACCGCCGTAAACAGTTACCCTCGAGCTAGATATTCCGGTCTGTACCGGCAGCCGGTGTAAGATTCTTATAAAATACAAAAAACGAAATAAATTTCAGCCTTTATAAAAATACCCATTAATATGACTATATGAGTTTGAAATTCTATCAACACTGTTCAATGAAATAAAAACCTACGATTATCATAATTATTACAGAGTTTCTAACATTGTATGATATTCCTAATTTACTGGTAATCTAGTAAACTGCTAAACAGTAGCCTGTCAAGTTCCCTGATAACTTACCTGCTCAAAGCTACGGTGGCACAAAGGTGACATGTGACTGTGTGTTTTATTCATCTCGTGCGCACGAGTTACTTAGTCGAGGTTGCGAAATAATTAAGTCGTGGGCACGAGATACTATGTCGTGGCCACGAGTAAGTAAGTCGTGGGCACGAGATAAATAAGTCGTGTGAACGATATACTATGTCGTGGTCACGAGTTTCTAAGTCGTGGGAACGAGATAATTAAGTCGTGGGAACGAGATAATTAAGTCGTGGGAACGAGATACTATGTCGTGGCCACGAGTTACTTAGTTGCGGACACGAAATAATGAGGTCGTGTGAACAAGATAATAATTATGTCGTTGCCACGAGTTACTAAGTCGTGGAAACGAGAAAATTAAGTTGTGGAAACGAGATACTATGTCGTGGCCACGACTTGCTAAGTCGTCGGAACGAGATAATTAATTCGTGCTTTGTCCCCACAAAGGGCTATAACCAGTCAAAATTTATGTCTGATTTATGGGCCTTGGAAGGTGACTTTCTAATATGATCCTAAAGACATGGATCAAGTTATAAGTGAATATCTTCAGTATTTTCAAAGATTAATGTTGCATGTCAAACTTTAAACAGATTTTTTCTAAGTATTATTGTAATCTGACATTTGATGGCCAATAACAAATTCAAGACATAAATTAAGTGCCCAATAACAAGTTTCTAGAACCGTCAATTAACAATTGTATATCGTTACACTGAACACCTTAAAAATAAGTGTACATTCACTGTTGTTTTATTTCGTCATTCTATGTGAAAAACCAACCTATAATAGACACACTCTTAATATATTGATCATTAAATAGATAAATAAATAAATAAAATTATCTTATCCTTTTCTGGTTGTGACACAAAGCAGCACTTCATAGCACGTACTGCTATCTTGATAATATGTAAAATTTCTGTAACTCAAATCGACCGTAATTTTTTTCTGTTTCAAAGTTCCCAAGTGCTTTGATTACAAGGAATTTACAAGAGAGAATGATCCATAGTGTCAAAATCTAATCTTTGACAAAAGGGCTTAACATGATATTAATTGAATTAGTCAAAATAAAATAGTTATGCATTTATCAAATAATAATTTATTCAAACAACAATAATCATAAGCAAAGATACTTTATCTTTCATACAGTAAAATATTACTACTCATAAAAATTACTGTTGTTTTTTATAAGGCACATTCGGTTTATGCTGTGACATATTATGTCCAAGGTTTACGTGACAAGAAGAATCTTACATTCGGCACATCCTTGGATTTTATCACTTGATTAAATTGAACATGTAAGATTCTCAATGTATATTTATATAAATAATAGTTGTAGACATTCTTTGATATGTTAACAAATGCCCATTGTCACACACACGACTTAACATTAAAGGAAGCTGTTATACATGTGAAGTATTTTGTCATTCACACTATACATGTATTGGGTTGAATAGCAGACGAAAATATCGCTCTGCATTATATATTTATTTTTGATAAATAAATTCTTCTCATTATTAATATTGGATACTCAATTTTATATGAAAGACCGCACAAGGCAATAGAACTTATATGTGGCGGAGGAGTGTAAAAATGTAGAGAAAAATGAGCAGATGAATCAACTAATTACTTTAAACCCATTCGTTATACTAGTTCAACTACCGTTTGAAAGCATAAATGCTAAGGGGATCCGATTAAACAAAATAGTTTTATTTACTTCCGCATTCCGACTAGCGACAGTTACCAGGTACAATATAATACACAAATGTACACTTGTTTATAGAGGCATTGTATTTGATTATCAAAATGGCTGAATCCAATCCGGGGACTGGTGAAGTGTCCGGGCGAATAAAGGAAATCCATTGCCAACCATGTTTAAACAAGGATAACCAAACGACAAATGTCGCTGAAAAGTTTTGTTTAAGTTGTAATGAATTTCAGTGTTTGGATTGTTCTAACGTTCACTACACACACGCCTTCTTAAGAAATCACAAGTTAGTGAACGCGAGTGAGGCGAAAACGAAACAAGGCTCGTTTGATATGAAAGGATTAGACCAATGTGATCAACACCAGGAAGTTCTAAAATTCTTCTGCGAAGATGAAAATCAGCTCTGCTGCAGCACATGTGCTATTGTTGACCATCGTAAATGTCACAGCGTTGTTGAAATTCTAAAGGTCGCTGGAAGGTCAACCTATAGAAGTTCAACTTTAAAGGTTAAATTGGAGGAAGTGAGAGAGAAGGCTAACATAATCGTAGACAGCATTGTCTCATCAAAGGAGAAACTAGACGAAGATGGTAAAGGAATACTAGTTGAAATCAGACGAATGCGGGATGAAGTAATGAAAATGTTTGACGAGTTGGAAATTTTCGTTGTAAAAGACGTTGGATCGTTTCAGAAAGAGACATTAGAAAAGCTGACATTGAAGCAGTCACAGAACGAGAAATATCTGACTGATATAACGACGTGTCTGGAAACGATTGACAATGTCTATCAGAATGGATCTCTTGTACAACAGTTTATAGTAGAGCAGAAGATGAAGAATGACGTCAATGTTCTTCACAAAAATGTCAATGCAGAATGTCAAGGTTTAGAGACCGTAACTGTAACCTTTAATTTTGATGAAACATTAAAACTTCCTCCGCTGCCAGTCACTGATTATGTACCAGGACAACTGACTCTGTCATTCTGTCTTTCAGAGATAGCCAATAGTATAGTTCCTGTTAACAAAGCAATGATACTAACACCAGTATATTCTATTGATTTAAAGCAGGAAAAGGATGATGTGAAAGAGCCATTGTATACAGGGATTGATTTTTTACCTGATGCTAGACTTGTTGCTGTTGATAATAAAAACAAGAAATGTTTAGTTTACAATGAGAAGCTTGAGAAAGTAGGATCATATCAGTTATCTTACTCGCCACAATCTGTTGTTGTTGTATCTGAGGAGGAAGTAGCGATAATATGTGCCAACCCATTAAAGTTAGACATTCTACGTGTTACCAAAACAAGTGATATAACTTTAGATAGAACAATCAAAGTAACAACACAATATACCTCGATATGTCAAAAAGATGATAAACATTTTGTCGGCGGGACAATTAATCATTCAACACCTGTTCGTGTAATATCATCTACAGGAGAAGAAAACGATTTCAATATCAACTTTCCGAGTAAGTCATATCCTTTAGACACAAGTAATTGTACTTACATAAGGAGCAGTGATAAAGTGGTGTTGACAGATAGATCCGAGCATACCGTCCACATATATGATATCAAGACAAACAGGAGAGTCGTGGTGAAGGATGAACAGATAAAGGAACCACTTGGTGTAGCAGTTGGTCCCTTTGATACTATCCTGGTTTGTAGTAATAGAAAAAACTCTATTGTACAGATATCACAAACAGGTCAGATCTTATCATCGTTCAAGACAGACATGACATATCCAAGGAGAATTTGTGTCTTACGTGATAAATCATTTCTTGCAATAACAAACTCAGTTGTAAGTGAGAGAAAACTACAGAAGTTTAAGATATCATATTGAAGACATGGATTTCGACATTATTATATCACGGATTTATATAAAATGTATGTACTTATATAAGCAGTATTTCATTCAACATAGCATTCTTTTTTTAAAATCAATATTGAATAGCTTTATAGAGATAAATGACAAACTTTGTATTACAAAAAAAAGAATAGTTTCGTCATTGAAAAGTGTGAAATTATATTTTGATAATTTTCACTGTAAAATAATCAAATATAATTTTCAAGGATAAATCAGTAATCCATTGAAAAGCATAAAATAAATTAGATATATTTTTCAAACATTCACATATTGATAGATCTGGCATAAATCGGATGATTTATTACACAATACATTCCCATGATTCCTAGGCAAGCTAACATTGTCATTGCTAGCGAACAATAGTACAATATTTAAGCTCTTTTACTGTTAAGAGAGTGAGAAAACGTTAAAAATACAATGTCAGCTTTAATTAAAACTTATATCTTTCAAATTAAAGATAAAAATTAAAACTTTCAAATCTTTTTCTCGTATTTAATGGCATTATATTTAAAGGCAGAGAAATAAATCTTTATGTAACTGGGTGTGCTTGCTCTTGTAGAAATATCACTTAAGATTGTACTTAAGATTTCACATTTTGATAATTTTTTGTGTCTGGATATTTTATTTCATAATTATTATGTCGTCTTCAAAACATTTGGTTGATGGCTTTTTTCTACCTCAACTATTTTTTTTATATCAATAATATAACTTGAAGATGATGTGTTGGTAACACAAGTAACTTCTTTGGAAAATACTATAATAATAGTTACAATAATTATTTGTTTTTTATGTACGTTTATTGATATATATTTTATATATTAACATGCTTCAATTGTTTTAGCAATAAAACGCTGTTGAAACATACAGTCATTGTTTGCGCATTACTTGATTTTTAAATGTTTCCTCGGGAATGGAAAATATCTTTATTAAAGGCACATTGTGCCTCAGAATCAAATCAATTTTTCCTCCTTTAGAAAGAACAAATATGAGTTTTATAACGTTTAATACATCTTTATTAGGCATGTTAGATGCTTATCATCTACAGAAATAGAACTGTATGATTTTTTGCTATAGTAGTGAAATGTAAACAGAATACATGTAGTATTTTTGACTTCCATTCAAAATAATAAATAACTATAACTATACTGATTGTCAAAATGCTACAGAAACACAAGATGAGTCTGAGTGTTTGGAAATGAGTAACTTTCAGGAAACTGAATCAGGGCACCAATAATTAGAAGCTTTTTAGAAATGAAAATAAGAGCATTTCTCGGGCATAATGGGCCTTTAAAAAAGTAAGATAAACACACTTTCGTTTACTCACCAATGGGACTGCGATAACTAGATTGATAGCAATATTTATATCTAAGTACATATTTTCATTTGTTATGTAAGTAAAAAAATAGAAACATATCAGGTAAAACATGGGTCGATTTGTCAATATAAATCAATCATCGATTCATTTGCCAAAGTAACTTAAACATTTATCATACTGAATTTTGTCATTAACTATTATACTGAGCTCAAAATGAAACTAAATGTATTTCATAAACAAGGAAGAAATTATCTAAATTAAAGCTAAATGTTATTTATTATAGCTATTGTCATATGACTGTTAAAGTAATAACGGCGTCATATTACTTTAAGAGGAAATCAAGCTTTTTTTCCCTTGTCATGATGACAAAAACGGACATTTTACATTATTATCATGGAATGACACACGTTGACTCGAAATTACTCTGTCTTAGATGATAAATAATAATCTCATGAATAAATGTAGAGGCTTGTCGTTGTACTTTATAGTGACCTGATAATCCACCAGGGCATGATAATAACAAGGTTAAACATTGCAGATTTGGTATAATTGTATGAGAAAGGGAATAGTGCACCATTTCTTATACCCGCTATCACCGGCATAATTTTCGTTAAACAATGAAAACAATATGAAGTCTTCACGTGTGTTGTAATACATGTATTTCAAACAAAACAACCTTCATCGCAATTTTTGTTACTGCCAAATTTTAAAATGATTCGACACATTATCATTATGAAGCAGTGAATATCTTCATATCCATTATTATACCTTGTCTAGACTGATATATATCATATATCAAAGTTAACGAAATAGAAGCCTGTGTAGAAGTTAACACGATAAAAAATTTATCATTGGATATGTTTCATAATTCCTGTCGAGTTATATTACATAGGTAGTATAATTATTCATGAGGCAGTTGTCTTTTAATATTTTACTTACTTTTCGGGGGCGTCCGTGGCCGAGTGGCTAAGGTCGTAGTTTTCAAACGACTTGCTCCTCGCCGCTGTGGGTTCGAATCCCGACAGAGACTTCGGATTTTTTCATCGAGAAAGCTATCAAGCTAGCTTACGCAGCGTCAGTAGTTCTACTCAGGTGCCCGTTCGTGCCTGAAATAATGCACGGAAAATCGGGAAATAAAGCTAAAACAAACGTCGCAATATGACCTATACTGTGTCGATGTGACGTAAAATCCAAACAAACAACATAACTATAAGTCGAACACGATAACGTTTACATTAATCGGTAAAACCATTATGATATAATGGGTGTTGCAAGTTATTCAGTTATAACATTTTGCATTTTTACTGCAATAAAAAAGAATTAAATTGGATATAAGCACGTAAATCCGAGTAGCGTAGTGGTTAGAGAGTTCAGATTATGAAGAGTTAATGTGAAAATGTTGTTGTTCTTTTCGAGTTAAAATCTGGAATTGTGCAATATTTTTTATGTCTGTTTGGTTTTTACTTTCAGAAAACACTTTCACATGCTCTTTTATAAACCTGTGATTAATTTAACACTTTGTACAATTGAAAGTTAAACTCATAACGATTTAGCAAAATTGAATGTTTGATTTTAACAGCAGTTATCCTACAGATTGCAAAGTATAGTCAATTTAATTTTATTTAAAACTCTGAATTCAGTTTGCTACATTTTTTTTATAAATTTTGGCTCATTTGTATATCTATATATTTAAATTTCTTACATTCCACATTTATCAATATAATCACGACTGTGTTGCCTCTAACTTTTCTTGTTAAAATCGATTGTGTGTAAAACTAAATGTTCCTGATTAGTATTGTGTGAAATAAATTCACGAGAAAATAAAATCCAGTTCTTTGAAAAATATCTAAAAACAAATAATAAAAGGAAAGAAAAAATGCCTTTTCTAAGAATTGAACCACGTTCTCTAAACTGACGAAGCCAACACTCAACGACTACGCTATTACGATGAACGGTTAAAAATGAGTAATTGTTTAGGTGGTAAAAGATTTAGGCGATAAATAGTATGCTTTTATGTAAGAATTATCGACACCCCTTTTGTCAATATTGATGTAAACAGATAATGAAAGGAATAGCGAATTCGAGCTGTAACTAACTAACTAAGTAATATTTTTATTTTACGGTCAAAGAAGGCAAAGATCCCCGGTGAATGTTGATCGTTTATTCCTATGTATGCAAAGTAAAGGTAACTTTCTTTGATAACAAATTAAAATAGACATTGAAATACATGTATACCTGTTTTATAAACAGTTCATTATTATATAACGATATTGTCCTGATTTTTATCATCAACATGACTTTAAATTATTTGCAAACACTCTATTATTGTTAAGAGAAAAAATAAACGCACCAATTTATTTGCATCTATTTTCATTCTATTAACCTGAAAATGAAAATATTTACAGACTTCCAATTAGATATGTAAGAAAAAAAAAGAAAATGAATCTCATTCAATAAAAAGGCAGTCTGTTATGATTCTATAATCAAAGCTAAAATGAAAGGAAAAACACACATGACGAATTATACGTAACAATCGTGATAAAAGAAACCTAACAAAAAAACATGAAATGTTTCTTGACAACGGTTTTTAACTAGATGAGAAATAAATAATTGAAAAACAGTGTCCTTTTTCTGTAGCATTACCTGTATTATTTTGAAATGATACTATAAGAGGAGAATTGAATAACTAATGCTAGTTGTGCTGCAAATTAGTTTTAATTTATTGCAAAAAGATGAGTAACAGGTTTATGTCAGCCAACAGTATGTTCATATACCAAAATATTCGTCAGATTCTGAAGTGAAAGTAAGATGTCCAAGATGGCGTCAAAAATGGCCGCTAAATTCCTAAATATTCTGGAATATTTTTGACGGTTCTTGTCAATCACTCTGAAATAACTTTATTTAAACATTCTTGTTCAACTCCTTATTTACCGTAGTTTTCAGAGAAGTCAACATCAAAAGCAGTATTTAGATTCAACATCATTTATAATTTATATCATTTTTTACTGATCTGAACGATTTTAACATTGACATCTAAAATGAAAGTGCAAAATGTTTATTGACAAAACAGGTTCTGGTGACTCAGTATTCATGTTAATCGAACAAGTTTGTCTTTAATATCTAAAATGAAGCTACTAAAAGTATAGTCGATAATTGAACAGATGTGCAGGGTGGCATGACTCTATACTGGTGGCAATATCTAATAAGTATATGTGGAATAACAGTGTAGGTCATTTGCAGAGAAATAGGTATTAAGGGGGTTAATTAATGGATGGACAGACTGCCGACATTACATTTTTTATTTTTTAATCGTTTATCAGATGCAAAATCTCGCGAATAAATGCAGAAATTTGTTCCTGTTTATTATCGATTATACATGATTGATTTTAGTTGTTATATAACTAATTATCATCAACTTAAGCAACATGGCGGAAAGTTCTTTTTTCAACTTTATTATGACAGAAAACAAGTTCTCTTTAAAGTAAATAAATGATATTAAAACACAGTGAAAGCTATATTATAAACTTAAATTTCTAGATAAATGTTGAACAGTTGTCGCTTTTCCCCATCCATGCATGAGACAGGTTCCACCACAATGCAAATTTTATGTATAATATGCAAATGAGCCGTTTCAAGTGGACCGATTCATACGAAATGTTTC